CACCTAGTACACGCTGTATACAGTGACACTGTGTGTGATGATGTGTGTATTTCTGGTGTGCAGGAACAGCATACCTCTTGCTGTGTGTTGATGTGATGCCGCTAGCCGCATCGGTGTTTGTACAACATCAGGGTATGTCGCATGATGATGCTAGCCATTAGAGGAGTCAGCATCCTAGAGTAATATCGTAAAATCATAACTACAGAGACACATGGAGGATCTATGGAGCACATTACCTATCTACAGATGCTATGACACCAGCATGTTGTTTTCGAAGTAGTAGGTTTAACAATGCGTCCATGTCCGTCTCACTTTCTTTTTCCAACTGGCGATGTAGAGAGGAGTCTGGCCATCCTGTACATGTCTCATCAACACACATTATCACAAGAAATCCCAGGGCAGACTACTGAATTTGAAAGGAAGCAGACGTACACATTACAGGATACATAATTAATGTAGTATAGCTAGCTAGTCGCTTAGTCTGTATGTTGACCTAAAATTTCTCTCACTCTGACATTAACCTACTTATCCACCATTTCAATGGAGACTTTATGCACGAATAAGATCTTGCACTCTTTTTTCAACCGATAGAATGCTGCTTTATCAATAACTCTGCTCCTGAAACAGACTAGTATAGAACAGCCATAGCACATGCAATAATAACTGTACTCACCTTCAACTGAGACAGTGGTTTTGTAGTCTCCAGCTGCTACTCAAGTATCCTTGCTCTGCCATTAGTCGATAAGACTCTTCCTGGAGTCACACTCTATCAAGTATGGCAGTATGAGCAGCCGTGGACATGTCCAGCAGACCACCTGACCATCCGCAGAACAACCTGCATATACACGCGAGCTACTCGTGGGATGTTGAAGAACCGCAGACAGCAATAGTGATGTCATCATAGCCTGGAGAGTGAGGTGAGGTCGATCAACCGCGGACTGTGACTCTGATGGTCTCCAGATGCTCTGGACTCTTGTGCTCATCAAACACTCTGGGATGAAGAGACTGCAGGTCGTTGAGGGGACAAGTGTGGCAGGCCAGGTGAGACGGACTGAGGGAAGTGGTCGTGTTGCTTGCTTTTGTGTCGGTACTTTTGTCCGTCGACAAATCATGGAAGAGGCACACTTGCTGCGAAACTGTAGGAACTGCTCCACTGCCTCATGGCTTGAGGACACTGACACTCCTCTGACATCATCATGAGGAGGTGGGGACTGAAGCAGTTCCAGAGACTAGACTGACATCTGAACACCTCTTCTGTTGAGGCAGCATTCTCATATGTGCTGGGGTTGATGATCGGGACGACTTTTCCCTCTCCCATTGGCAGGACCAGCTGACTGAAGAACTGTTTCAGACGAGAGAGGGAGTCAGGAAGCTGTTCAAATACCTCCATCACTGCTGCCAGTGTCTGTAAGAACTGACTCTGGAGATCTGATGTTTTCAGCTCTGGTGGTGGGATGGTGGTAGGTGGTGGGTAAAACCTTCTAGTAGCTTGTTTCTTCCTTTCTACATTGGTGTTATTGTGGTCTAGAAAGAGAAAATTGTGTTATACAAATTACAAACAGTAAGATAAAATAAAGAGAATCATGATACCTGATCTGAGTTTCATTGCCAATTTTCTATTTTTTGGGCAGTCAGTGGCCTCAAGGATATTGCACAGATCTAGTGCAAATGTGGGTGGGCTCTCCTTATTAAACAGAGCAACTCCAGCTGAAATATTCTGTGCGTATGTAGAGCTGTATGCCTCTGCGCTTCCTTTCTGTTGTGATGTGATGAGCTTTCTCTCCACCATCTCATGGAGTATGGACTTGGCATGGAGGTACTGGCAGACCTCACTGAGGTTGAGTCGTAACACTTTTGCACCCAACATTCGCTGTTCAGCAACAATTGCCCCTTCATCTTCTGTACAATCATAGTTATTACTGAAGATAAAAAAATCATTTAGTAAACAAGCTCTGTCCATACCTTCATGTTCTCCCAACTTCAGTGAAGGAAGAGAGACCACACCGCTACAACGTAAAGAGAGTATCCAACACTGTGACACTTTCATTATAATAAACTCATACCTTTAGATTTTTTGCTGCTTGTGATCGATTTCCCTTCTTTCCGGGCTACTGGTTTTCTGCAAATGTGTTTGGACAATCTGCTTCATTTCCGCAACATTTTCTTGAAGTGCAAGTTGCTCTGATGCAGCCACAGCTTTTTCCCTCTCCAGTTCCTCAATGTATCTCTTGAGTCTAGCGTTTTCTGATAGCACTTTTGCATTTTCTGTCTCTACTTCATCAACTCTTTTCTTCAAACGATCATTTTCGTTCTTGTACTCTGCTTTCCTTCTTTCCTCCTCTTCTTCCCTCTCTTTCTCTGCGACCAGAGGCTGCTTCTTTGTGTGGAGCTCTGCTATCTCCTCGTCAAAGTTTCTCTCGGTTTTCTTCCGGAAGATTCCTCCCCAGGACCTTCTCTTCTCCTGATTGAGAGCTTCAATGTGTCCATCCAGCACTGCTATCTCCGTGTCCCTCATCCCCAGTGCTGAAGTAGTTGGTGGTAGTTCCACCACCCTGTTGGTTGTACTGGGACTTGCTCTCTCCATACTCTGGAGTTGACCTCAGCTGTGCCAGTCTCTGGCAGAGGTTGCCTGCAGTGGGCCTTTCTTTCTCTTCGTCTTTGAGGCATTCTAAGGCCATTGGGCGAAGTGAGTGGGTCATGAAAACTTCTTGGAGGTCGTTCTTTCGGCGCTCAAGCTCAGGAATGGGGACAAGAATTCTCTTTTGATACCTGGGATCTATCACTGGATTGTGACGAGCTGTTGGTTTAGGGAACCGACGTGTGATGATCTGAACAATGAGCACTCCAGTGGAGAACACGTCAATCTTGTCGGAATACACAGGTACATCAAGCAATGCTTCAGGGGGCATGTAGACCTCTGTGCCAGGGCACATGGTTTGCTTGTTTCTGCTCATGCGAGGGTTGAGGTCGACCATCTTGGACATGCCAAAGTCGGTCAGCTTGGCCCGGGAACCAGCAGTGAGAAGAATGTTGTTGCTTGAGAGGTCACGGTGTTGAATACCGTTGCCGTGAAGGTAATCGAGGGCCAGAGTGATGTCGTAGGTGATGTTCACCTGGACATGATAGGGGAGAGCTCTCTGTCGGCTCTCTAGGAAGTCAGTGAGGCTCTGCTCCATCAGCTCCATGAGGAGAATCGGTCTGCGATTGTTGCGAGGTCGAGGGTCTTCCAGGACCCCCAGGAACTGCACGATGCTCGGATGCTTCTGGTGACGCAGGATCCGGCACTCCTGCTTGAAGCGTCGAATGAAGTCGGCAACGTGAGGATCATGTGAGGTGAAGAAGGTGTGGTGAAGGAGTTTGGCGGCACAAGGAAGACCGTCAAGCTTGGCTTTAAAGACTCTTCCATATTAGCCGTGACCAATTTCCTCTGAGGGTTGGATGAGTACTGTTCTGTAGCCAAACGTTTTTCTGAGGTTTATTTCTCGCGTCGTGAGTGGGCTCTCTTCCTCCGCAAAGCCCCTGGTCGAAATGTCAATTTTAAAGTCTGGTTCTGCAGACATGGCTCTACTGGATAATCAGAAGGCGTATGCAATTCACTTTTTTGGGTAGATTAGAAAGCAAACTTCAACTGCCTTTTCTGAGGAATTAACCTTGCTATTCAGGATAATATTATGGTCAAGTTAAGAATCTGTTCACGTTTGACTAGCATTATTCTGTTGTAGCTATATACCTCCGCAAACCGATTCAGCAATACGCATGTTTATTACTGCACGTGGAGGCTGTCTAGACTACCTTACCAAAAACACATTGTTGCACTGCAGGTTAATGTATGTAAGGCAGTAGTGGGGGGTGAAAAGGGGCTAGAAGACACATTGTTAATCCCTAACTAGCCTAACTAGCCTAACTACCCTATCTATACCCTTGAAGCAAACTCTTATGCTCTCGGCCTTAATGGTGTGTCTAAACATTGCCTTACCTACTTATCATGCATGGTCATAAAGTTGACAAGAAAGGGGGAGTTAAGCAGATATGAATATCGATAGTTTTTGCTCTCACATTGAAGGCAAAAAGTGTTGTGAGGTGGTTGTGAGAAGAAGGGTTGATGATGGTAAACAAGGATTTGAACACTTTTCATACCTCAGAGCATCAGGATGACAACGCATGAAAATCCGAGAAAGCTATCCAAGCTAGTGCATACATGCTTTGTATACCACTTCTCACTGGATCAAGGGTGAATTTTGTAACTCATAAGGTGAAAATGCTCACCAGCTATAAACTAGAAGACTGTTTTTTGCTATACGAGCTCAGATCTTAGCTGTCTTGGGTGTAGTTCCTATATACCCTTGAAGCCAGCTTGAAGGGTGTGTCTATCAACATTAAACATTGCCTTGCCTACTTATCATGCATGGCCATTAAGTTGACAAGAAAGGGGGAGGTGACTGGAAATGAGCTTTTGCTCTCACATTGAAGGCAAAAAGTGTTGTGAGGTCCTTAAAGCTTCAGATGAAGAGTTGATGATGGTAAACAAGGATTAAAACACTTGTCATACCTCAGAGCCTCAGGATGATAACGCATGAAAATCCCAGTAAGCTATCCAAGCTAGTGCATAGCTACATGCTTTGTATACCACTTCTCTTACTCTTGAGTATCACTGTAGCTACCAGGGTGAATTTTTATAACTCAAAAGGTGAAAATGCTCACCAGCTATAAACTACCAGTATTTGCTATACGAGCTCAGATCTTAGCTGCCTTGGGTGTAGTTCCTATATACCCTAGCTTGAAGGGTGTGTCTATCAACATTAACTTGCCTACTTATCATGCATGGCCAAAGTTGACAAGAAAGGGGGAGGTGACTGGAAATGAATATCTCCATCCAAAAGTGACAAACAAGCCAAGAATCTTGCATTGGAGAAACATGATAAACCTCTGCATCACATGCCCAAGTTCTTGATGATTAGCAAGGATGTAAGCACTTATCAGATCACAGAGCATCAGGAATATGGCTCATGTCAAAATCTTACTTTTCACTTAGCAAGCTAGTTAGCTACAATGTGTGCGTACTATCTCTTTGTGTTTCTCTTTCTTTGTTCATGTCAGAGTCTGAGCTGTTTAGCAATTTTCACAAGTAAGAAGAGGTTGTTGAGCTGCCCCAATGGCTCCACATTTCTGCCTTCTGTTCGCACGGTTAAAGGGCTTGTCAGTAGTGTATCAAGCCTGTATAGCTTACACACCTTGCATATGGCAAGCATCAAGTTTTGCAGATATAAGATGATGAATGTATGATGGATGAAAGGTCAATGCAAGTGTCAAGCATTCCATTCATGGTGGCAGAGAAAGGGGAGGGTGAATTCATGAAGGGATGAATACCGACGCTGCCACATTTGGGGGCGGGGCTCAACGAAGGCTTGTATGTTTTGTTCTCAGAGGCAGGCCTGGACGAGGCTGGAGCTCTATAGCCTGTTAGTTTAGCTCTAACGTACGATGTAGTTGCAAATAACACCCGGAGGGCCGTAGTACAAACGGTCATGAACGCATACCTCCGCTGTGCAAACGCGCACACACGTTACTGCTGCTACGTGCAGTTTTTCTGTTTGAGGGTGGGGCTGAAATATCGCCTCTTGCTTTGCGATGCAGTTCAGTGTATGTCTGCTTTCAGCGCCAAAAAGTGATCCAAGTTTGGCCGCACTAAAAATAATTATGCAAAGACGTGAATGGTCTTGTGTCGCGGTAACGCGTACAGATAGCTATAGCTGCTAGCACAGCTAGTCGTAACACAAACAAAATACCTTCCGTTGCCAGTGATAACTCTACAGGAGGTGAACTATAAAAGGCCTCCTCCACCGCTCCAAATAATTATGTCTCCGCAGTGTCTGGGAATAAAGTCAAACAGAAATCTAGAGCAAATCACCGTAGATTTAGCTCTTGTTGTGACTCACTTTTCTGGAATCCAAGAGAACTATATAGGCCTATAACCCGCAAAAGTTAGCCTCTTATGAACGCAAGACGGGCGGGCTTTCAGCCCCGTCCTTTTCTTCCGCTCGCGCGCGCTGTGAAATCTCGTCACGCATGCGCAGAGAGCAGGTACATTTTAACCCCTAGCCCACATATGCACACTCAATGTAATTCCTGCGGCGGCGGCGGCGGTGTTTATTCATGGCAGCCTCAGAACAGCAGCAGACCTGGAAACTGCACGGCCCTGTTTCAGATCCGGACGCCTTCGCTTCCTCTCCGACCGAAAACCCGCTGGACTGGACGTGCGAGGAGCTCAAGGGCCGCGCCACCGCTCTCTTCTTCCCGCTGAGCGACGGAGAGATCCTCGTCCGAGAAGGTACGTACGTAGCATTCTCTCCCTCTCGCTCGTCGTGTGTTAGCTTTACTTCGTCTTTGAGGCGGGGTAGACATTTTTGGCGGGTGTGTATGTATGTGTGTTGTTAGCAATATCCAGTGTTCAGCTAGCGGCATCTGGGGGCCTATAACCGTTTCCTGGAGTTGTCGTAGTTACCTGGAGATGTAGCGGAATTTGGTGTGCCGAAGTCACCATGGGTTATGTACAAGGCTTCTGTATTTGGCGCACCTCCTCCTCGTCCTAACTTAGCTAAATCATCCCTCCAACCTCTCGTTAATTGTTTGCTGGTGTAAGCTGCATATAGAGCAGTATTGTATGTGTGCGCGTTGCACCTGCTTATGTTGGGTACAATCTATTCTCTCTCCCAATCCTTATGACAATTTTAGACTCTCTTTCTCTCTCTTGCGTTGCATGCATCTTTTACTGAACTCTAATGCAGAGTTTTGGATCATCCTAGAAGTAAACCGTATATATACACCAGTTTCCCCAAACATGTGTACTAATCACTACATATTGTGTACTGTAGCTAGCCAGTGTGTTTGACTACATAAGGATGTAAGGTACACAGTATTAGAGGCAGTCTGTCTGTGGCATGGCACACAACCCCAGACATACCGACTGGCCAATTCTCAACATCTTTCCTTGTAGGAGGACAGATATCACTACATGACTTGTAGCGCAATGTGCATCTAAGACATAAGACAGTGTTGTATGCAGCATATTGCACTCTATATAGTGATCTGTGTATATACAGTTTTTATACACTAAGAGCTGTACCTAGTTCAAATTGGTTGTCCTGTTTTTTGTTTATGCATTATGCTGAGTCATTAGGAATAATGTAAGTTTTCTGTTCATTAATGGCTGTCGTCTGTCATTGGACACTTGTAGTCTCTCTCCGAGATTTCCATTCTTAGAAGAACAGTCACTGGCACTGTGTGATTGTGTGCTCCTTTCTTTTCGTTGCGTAAGACTTCTAGTACTAATGCTCTTGTCTGTAGTTTGTGCATACATATGTATGTGCCAATCAGTAATAGGACTGCTCTTGTCTGTATTGTGAATCAGTAAGACCTCTAGTACTAATGCTCTTGTCTGTATTGTGAATCAGTAATTATGTTTACTGAACTGTAATGCAGAGTCTTGTCTGTAGTTTGTGCATATGCCATCAGTAATAGGACTGGGTGTTGTCAATCAATAATAATGTGGGCTGTCTACATGTTGTTGTTGTTGTTGTCTCCTAGGAGACGTGGTAGTGATAATAGAGCAGACGTTTGCGGGAGACTATTTCGTCATACACAACAAGAGAACAGGCCGGTGGACTACATTGAGATCAGTGAGCCCTCCCCTCCCCTATTCTCCTCTTTCACCTCCCTGCTTTGACTCTTCATCTCTCCTTCCCTCTCTCTACCCTCTTTCCATCTCTCCCTCCCTCCCTTTACCATCTCCATGTATCTCATTTCCAGCCCTTAGCCCAGACCCGCCTAGCTCTAGAAGCAACCATGCAGTCTCATAGTGTGTGTTGACTAATGCCTAGAAAGTGTGGTTTCCTATTTAATACACCAGGATGCAGTGAATCGTTTTCTTAGAGGCCTTAGACAACCACTACATTTCATTGTTGTTCTATTCGTACATCGTCCCTATATAGTTCCCGAGGACGTGGATCAGGTCCCGCTACCAGCTAGGAACAGATCAGACCAAACTGCCTCTAAACCAGGTGACGCTTTCTTTGGTTTTTTCTTCTGAAGTTCTCCACATGACTTGCACTCTATAGTGATTACGTACACACTAAGGCTAGGTTCATTGCCCCGTCGGCCGTCGTGTCATGCCGCGTTGCTGTGTCGTGAGGATAGAATGCATTTCTATCTTCGCAGCAGGACGTGACGCGGCACAGCGCGACAGGGCAATGCGACATATTGTGAACCTAGCCTAAGAGAGGCAGCAAATTGGTTGTGGGTTTTTTGGGTTCTTACTGCACATAAATCATGTCTAGGTCAAAGTCTTCATCGTCAGACGAGTCATCAAGCAGTGATTGGTCCAGCAGTGACGAAGATGATGATGAAGGAGATGAAGCTCCTCTGCGTCCCTCCACCCACTCTGCACTCCAGGCTCAGTGGGAGTGGAGAACCATGGCTGACTCCCTTCCTGACAAGTGAGACTCCGTGACTTCTTATCCTTCCTCTTTGTTCTATGAGCTTTGACATGCCGAAATTCTGCATGATGTTTTAGTGGATTCATGAAGAATTGATCCATGATCCATGAATTGAAAGTGTAGTCATGTTATATGGGAGTGCCTAATAGAAGTGACTTTACATGTACATATGTTGCAAGAGCATCTTGGAGATTGATTTAAGCATTTTGAAGGTTTTTAGTACATCACAAATTGCATTCTCTTGTCCTAGTTCTCCAATGGGAACAGGCCACACCCCCAAGAAGAAGCCACCACCAATAGCTCCCAAGCCGAGAGTATCGTGGACTCACTCGTTACCCACCACTGACCTCAACTACCAACTGATAGAAGACCCTTCTTCCTTCTCTCAGGTCCAGGTTATTTTCTTCTTCTCCAATTTTGACCGATGCTTGTATTATGCTTCAAACAACATTCAAAGAGCCATTCATGAATGCAACTCAAATTTGAGTAGCCAACAAAAAACAGTCCATATCCCAGTATTAATAATCATGCTGCTATCCCTATAATGGGCTTATCATTGATTGGCGAGTGAATGCGGAGTGCAAAAATTTCAGCTGTTTATCTGTGTTGCTTTTCAGTATTGGTGCATGTATTTCAGATATACTAGATAAAATTGCACAATTCAGACAGGTAGGCTCGCTTTGTTCGCCAATCATGTTAGAAATGTTCCAATTGATGACAGATATGACGTTTCCCCATGCAGGCAACTCATGTCAGTGACCTGACCTCTCTGACCTCCAGTTTTCCTAGACCCAGGGGACCACAGGGAAGAAATCTACCATCACGACTCTACAAGTAGCTACTACTGCTATGTGTAGTATGATACTAAAATATCTGAATCTTTTCGCCAGACTCCATCATTATCATTTTGACAAAGTTAAATTGTGTGTTTACAGTGTGTATATATTACAATGTAAACAAAAATGCTACATTCTCTGTAGGATTTCAACAATCTCAGAGTGACTCTTAGATCTGGCAATGTCAATGGGTCTGTTTCCCTTCTGTGATGATAGTGTCATGATGACGTCATCGTGTAAATAAGATTACTTCTATACCTTATTCTGTATGTTGACCAGAGCCTGAGCTTCAGTCAGTAGTCTCACCACATCAACTTTGCCTTCTTGAGCTGCCAGGTGAAGAGCAGTCCAGCCATCCTGTGGACACAAACACACAGTCACCTCACCTAGTACAGCTGTATACAGTGACACTGTGTGTGATGATGTGTGTTTTCTGGTGGTAGGAACAGCATACCTCATCCTGTGTGTTGATCTGTGCCTTAGCCTCAATCAGTGTTTGTACAACATCAGTATGTCCATTGAATGATGCTATCATTAGTGGAGTCATGCCATTCTAGAGTAATATCGTAAAGTCATAGAGACACATTGAAGATAAAGCCACATTACTCACTGCTACTATTCTACAATGTATACACCAATCATTGACATGAGAAATGGTGTTGTACCTCTCTCTGTATGTTGACCAGAGCCTGAGCTTCAGTCAGTAGTCTCACCACATCAACTTTGCCTTCTAGCTGCAGTGAAGAGCAGTCGCACCATCCTGTGGACACAAACACACAGTCACCTCACCTAGTACAGCTGTATACAGTGACACTGTGTGTGATGATGTCATTGCATACATAAGAGTACTTCTATACCTTAGCCTGTATGTTGACCAGAGCCTGAGCTTCAGTCAGTAGTCTCACCACATCAACTTTGCCTTCTTGAGCTGCCGCATGAAGAGCAGTCCAGCCACCCTGTGGACACAAACACACAGTCACCTCACCTAGTACAGCTGTATACAGTGACACTGTGTGTGATGATGTGTGTTTTCTGGTGGTAGGAACAGCATACCTCACTCTGTGTGTTGATCTGTGCCTTAGCCTCAATCAGTGTTTGTACAACATCAGTATGTCCCTCAAATGACGCTGCCATTAGTGGAGTCCAGCCATCCTAGTGTAATAATCGTAAAGTCATAGAGACACATGGAGGATCTATGGAGCCACATTACCTTCCTACAGATGCTGACATCAGCATGTTGTTGAAGTAGTAGTTTAACAACTGCTCCATGTCCTTTCCAACTGGCAATGTAGAGAGGAGTCTTGCCATCCTGTACATGTATCAACACACATTATCATGAGAAATCCCTAGTAGAGACTTCAGAATGGACACATTCATAACATCATCACTGTTGCTATTGCACACTTTATTGATTGATATGAGGTGTACATCAATCATTAGAGATGACGTACCTCAGTCTGTATGTTGACCAGAGCCTGAGCTTCAGTCAGTAGTCTCACCACATCAACTTTGCCTTCTTGAGCTGCCAGGTGAAGAGCAGTCGCACCATCCTGTGGACACAAACACACAGTCACCTCACCTAGTACAGCTGTATACAGTGACACTGTGTGTGATGATGTCATTGCATACATAAGAGTACTTCTATACCTTAGCCTGTATGTTGACCAGAGCCTGAGCTTCAGTCAGTAGTCTCACCACATCAACTTTGCTTTCTTGAGCTGCCGCATGAAGAGCAGTCCAGCCACCCTGTGGACACAAAGACACAGTCACCTCACCTAGTACAGCTGTATACAGTGACACTGTGTGTGATGATGTGTGTTTTCTGGTGGTAGGAACAGCATACCTCTTCCTGTGTGTTGATCTGTGCCTTAGCCTCAATCAGTGTTTGTACAACATCAGTATGTCCATTGAATGATGCCATCATTAGTGAGTCATGCCATTCTAGAGTAATATCGTAAAGTCATAGAGACACATTGAAGATAAAGCCACATTACTCACTGCTACTATTCTACAATGTATACACCAATCATTAGACATGAGAAATGGTGTGTGTACCTCAGTCTGTATGTTGACCAGAGCCTGAGCTTCAGTCAGTAGTCTCACCACATCAACTTTGCCTTCTTGAGCTGCCAGGTGAAGAGCAGTCCAGCCATCCTGTGGACACAAACACACAGTCACCTCACCTAGTACAGCTGTATACAGTGACACTGTGTGTGATGATGTGTGTTTTCTGGTGGTAGGAACAGCATACCTCACTCTGTGTGTTGATCTGTGCCTTAGCCTCAATCAGTGTTTGTACAACATCAGTATGTCCATTGAATGATGCTTCATTAGTGGAGTCCAGCCATTCTAGAGTAATATCGTAAAGTCATGGGACACATGGAGGATCTACGAGCTACCATTACCTGTCTACAGATGCTGACATCAGCATGTTGTTCAAGGAGTAGTTTAACAACTGCTCCATGTCCTTTCCAACTGGCAATGTAGAGAGGAGTCATGCCATCCTGTACATGTATCAACACCCATTATCATGAGCAATCCTAGTGGCTTTAACACATTTGTACATCATCACTGTTGCTATTGACACTTTATTGATGATATGAGTGTCATCATCATAGAGATGATGTACCTCACTCTGTATGTTGACCAGAGCCTGAGCTTCAGTCAGTAGTCTCACCACATCAACTTTGCCTTCTTGAGCTGCCAGGTGAAGAGCAGTCCAGCCACCCTGTGGACACAAACACACAGTCACCTCACCTAGTACAGCTGTATACAGTGACACTGTGTGTGATGATGTGTGTTTTCTGGTGGTAGGAACAGCATACCTCATTCTGTGTGTTGATCTGTGCCTTAGCCTCAATCAGTGTTTGTACAAACATCAGTATGTCATTGAATGTATGCTATCATTGTGGAGTCATTGCCATTACTAGAGTAATATCGTAAAGGCATAGAGACACATTCGAAGATAAAGCCACATTACTCACTGCTACTATTCTACAATGGATACACCAATCATTAGACATGAGAAATGGATGTGTGTACCTCAGTCTG